GATTTTCACCTTGTTGCCCAGGCTGATCTTGAACTCCCAACCTCAGGTGATCTGCCCATCTTGGCCTCCCAAAGTGCTGGGATTACGGGGTGAGCCACCACACCTGGTCTATTGTTTTTTGAGACATAGTCTCACTCTGTCGCCCAGGCTTAAGTACAGTGCTGCAATCACTGCCCACTGTAACCTCTGCCTCCCAGGTTTAAGCAATTCTCATTTCTCGGTCTCCCCAGTGGTTGGGATTACAGGCACGCATCACCACACCTGGATAATTTTTGTATTTTTGTAGGCGGGGTTTCACCATGTGGACCAGGCTGTTCTCAAACTCCTGGCCTCAGCCTCCCAAAGTGCTAGGGTTACAGGCGTGAGCCACGGCACCAGTCCTAAAAAACACTTATTGAGCACCTGCTGTATGCCAAGAGCCAGGGAAGGGGGCGGCATACAGAGCCAGGAGGGAACAGGGTGGAGGAACTTCCCTTTTGGAGCTGACATTCCACAGAGAAGAACCTGGGTAATGGCAAGATGCACAAGGAGTGATAATTCTGTGGTGCAGCCAAAAGCAGCCTCACCTCCTCCCAGCACTTTGGGAGGTCGAGGTGGGCAGATCATGAGGTCAGGAGTTCAAGACCAGCCTAGCCAATATGGCAAAACCCTGTCCCTACTAAAAATACAAAAATTAGCTGGGTGTCATGGTACATGGCTATAATCCCAGCTACTTGGGAGGCTGAGGCAGAAGAATCACTTGAACCTGGGAGTCAGAGGTTGCAGTGAGCCAAGACTGTGCCACTGTACTCCAGCCTGGGCAACAGAGCAAGACCCTGCCTTAAAAAAAAAAAAAAAAATTGTGCCCCTGGGGAGGGGCACAAACGGGGGAAACCTGGAGGAGGGGAGGGGGGAGCCATGTGGATAGCTGCGGGAGGATGACTCAGACAGAGGGGACAGCCTGTGCAAAGGCCCTGAGGCAGGATGTCTTTGGTGAGTTTGGAGAACAGTAAGGAGGAAGTTAGGTTTTCTGGCCTCCATGATGACGAGTTTTGCTCTGAGCGAGGCAGTTGGTAAGAATAATAGTGCTCTCCTTCATGAGATATCTACTTCCTCATTCTAAACTTTCACAAGATCTTGTGGCCTGGGGAGGACAGGAGAAAGGGGCTGGTAACTGCTCCACAGGTTGATAAACATGGGTACTTTCAGGAGGGCTTCCTGGAGGAGGTGTCAAGGATATGACTGGCTTGAATGTGGCAAGAGGCAGGTTGAGCAGGGAGCAGGTACTCAGGGAGAGGCAGAAAATAGGTCAGACACTTCATGCCTGTAATCCCAGCACTTCAGGACGCTGAGGCAGGTGGATCACCTGAGGTAGGGAGTCAAGTCTAGCCTGGCCAACATGGAGAAACCCCGTCTCTACTAAAAGTAGAAAATTAACTGGCTATGGAAGCACATGCCTGTAACCTCAGCTACTCAGGGGGCTGAAACAGGAGAATCACTTGAACCTGGGAGGAGGAGGTTGCAGTGAGCCAAGATCGTGCCACTGTACTCCAGCCTAGGAAGCAAGAGCAAAGCTCCGCCTCAAAAAAAAAAAAAAAAAAAAAGAATGTCTAAAGGAGAAAGACTCCTCTCTACACGGCCAGGACCTGAGAGGCAGGGTTAGTGAACTGCTACCTCCTCACGCGACAAAAGGGTCTTTGCTGATTATACAATTAAGGAACTTCAGACAGGGAAATGACCTGGGATCATCTTATCACACAAGTCCTTAAAAGTGCAAGGGGGCAGCAGAGGGGAGTTGAAGGCTGTCATATGAGGAGGACTTGACCCCTCCTTGCTGGCTTTGAAAATGGAGGGAGAGCCCACGAGCCAAGGAATGCAGGCGACTTCCACAAACTGGGAACAGACAACCAGCAAGGAAACAGGGGCTTCAATTCTACAACCCCAAGGAACTGAATCCTGCACCCCTAAATGAGCAAGAAATAGATGGTCACTTACGGCCTCCAAGAAAGGGGTGCAGCCTGCGGACATCTTGGTCTTAGGCCAAACCACATTTCTGACCTCTAGAGCTGTGGGATAATTTGCGTTGTTTAAAAATGCTAAGATTTGGCCGGGCGCGGTGGCTCACGCCTGTAATCCCAGGACTTTGGGAGGCCGAGGCGGGTGGATCACGAGGTCAAGGGATCGAGACCATCCTGGTCAACATGGTGAAACCCCGTCTCTACTAAAAATACAAAAAATTAGCGGGCATGGTGGCGCGTGCCTGTAATCCCAGCAACTCGGGAGGCTGAGGCAGGAGAATTGCCTGAACCCAGGAGGCGGAGGTTGCGGTGAGCAGAGATCGCGCCATTGCACTCCAGCCTGGGTAACAAGAGCGAAACTCCGTCTCAAAAAAAAAAAAAAAAAAAAAAAGCTAAGATTGCGACGTCAGCCATGGGAAATAAACACAAGGTGGGAGCATTCCGGGTTCTGAGCGGAAGGAGGGGGCGTGGCTTGACTCAGGTGTTCGCTCGCGCCCTCTGGAGGCTGCGGAGGGAACAGGCTTCACGGCCAGGCTGGAGACCCGAGCATGGGAAGAGGGAACCACAAGGTCCAGGTGAAGGTATGCTGGGCTGCACCAGGTGAGGGCCGGGGAGGTGGGGAGGAAATGAAGTCCGAGGTTTGAACGTGGATGGAAAGAGAGAAAAAGAGAGAGGACTCCAGCAGGGTGCGGTGGCTCACACCTGTAATCCTTTGGGAGGCTGAGGTGGGAGAATCACTTGAGGTCAGGAGTTTGAGACACAGCCTGGCCAACACAGTGAAACTCTGTGTCTACCAAAAATACAAAAATTAGCCAGGCGTGGTGGTGCACGCCTGTAGTCCCAGCTACTCGGGAGGCTGAGGCAGGAGAATCGCTTGAACCCGGGAGGCGGAGATTGCAGTGACAGAGCCTGGGCGATTGAGCAAGACACCGTCTCAAAACACACACACACACACACACACACACACACACACACACAAAAAGAGAGAGAGTGAGGATTCAAGTAAAGGATGAGTGGAGGCTTGTGAGCTGGGAACTTGAAGTCTTCTGTCCCCTCCACCCCAACTCCACCAGTCCCTACCTCTCCCTGGCCTCACATGCCAGCAGCTGCCCTGTGACCTCTCATTTGCGACATCTCCTGTCTCCATTCTAAAAACGAAGTCAGATGGGGGCTTTAGAGGGGCTGGGACCTGTGAGCCCCCAGGCCTCCAGAGGGATTCCAGATTTGGGAATCGGCCTCCTGCCTCCCACTCAAGCCCAGCACCGCCAAAGCAGCTCCCAGCTCACCCCCTGGTCTGCACCTCTGTCTCTGTCTCTTTCTCTCTCTGGAATTTCCATTGTCCTTTTGGTAACTGAATTATCCCATCTCTGCCTCTCACTGGGGGCTGCCCGCAGAGGCGTGGGCGAGGAGGGGCCCGGGTCGCAGCGCAAGATATTAAACCATCAATCACCTGCCAATGCTGACTCCCCCACGCTGGGACCCTCCATTGGCTCCGCCTGGTAGCAAATCAGCTCCAGTGCAGGCTGGAGGCCCAGAGACCCCATCACAATGGGAGTCCTTGGAAGAATCTCACAGGCCCACCTGGGCAAGTGCCTTGATGCAGACTGGCCTGGCTCAATGCCCAGACAGGTGTCCTGGGTTAAAATCCACAAGCTGCTTCCTATCCACGCAAGGGAGCCACTGCATAGTTCTGTGCCTCAGTTTCCCCACCTGTACAATGGTGATAACAGCAGGGTGTGTGGCTCATGCCTGTAATCCTAGCACTTTGGGAGGCTGAGGAGGGCAGATCACGGTCAGGAGTTTGAGACCAGCCTGGCCAACACAGTGAAACGCCCTCTCTACTAAAAATATAAAAATTGGCTGGGCATGGTGGCTCATGCCTGTAATCCCAGCACTTTGGGAGGCTAAGGTGGGCGGATCACCTAAGGTTGGGAGTTCGAGACTAGTCTGACCAACATGGAGAAACCCCATCTCTACTGAAAATACAAAAATTAGTCGGGCGTGGTGGCGGGTACCTGTAAGCCCAGCTACTCAGGATGCTGAGGCAGGAGAATTGCTTGAACTCGGGTACAGTGAGCCCAGATTGCACCACTGCACTCCAGCCTGGGCAACAAGAGTGAAACTTCGTCTCTAAATAAATAAATAAAAATTTAGCCAGGTATGGTGGTGTGCCCCTGTAATCCCAGCTACTTGGGAGGCTGAAGCAGGAGAATCACTTGAACCTGGGAGGCAGAGGTTGCAAAGAGCCGAGATTGCACCACTGCACTCCAGCCTGCAGGATGGAGCGAGACTCCATATTAAAAAAAGAAATAGTGGTAACGTTTTTTACATCTTGGGGGTTCACTGTGAGGATTAAAGCAGTTACCGCAGATGGAAACACCTGGCCGATAGTAAATCCCGTCTAGGATTTGCTGCCAGAATAATTTACCTTCAGGACTGGGTGCTTATTCGCTGGTGAAAGAAACACAAGATTCTTGGATTTGGGGGGACTTAGTGGAGTTCGTGTTTGTGTCACCTCACAGCTGCTGCCTTGTGTGGGTTGGAATCGGACTTTTTTTGTTTTTTTGGGTTTGAGAGGTCTTGCTGTGTCACCCAGGCTGAGTGCGGTGGTATGATCATGGCTCACTGCAGCCTCAACCTTCTGGACTTAAGTGATCCTCCCACCTCAGCCTCTTGAGTAGTTAGGATTATAGGCATGAGCCCCACAGCCAGGTCTAGGGGAAAAAATGTAAAGGCTCTTTCAGAACCTTAACCAGGGCCAAGCAACCCATACTTCAGGGCACTCAATTCACAAAATAAGGCCTCAGTACTTTGCAAATGCTGTTCCCTCTGCCCAAAATGCTGTTCCCTCAGACAGTCATGTGACTCCTTGCCTGCTTCTGGGCTTGCTGCAAGTCCCCTCCTCAATGAGGTCACTTTGCAAAAATTGTACCCAGGGCCCCTGCCTGACCCCACCCTTGCCGGCTGTATTTCTGACCATACCACGCACCCTATTTTGCATACCGTATGCAGTCATGTTGGGTCTGTCTCTTCATCCCACTGGAGTGTCAACCCCAGGGCAGGGATTCATTCATTCACTGCCCAGTGCAGCACCTGGCATGAAATAAACACCCAGTAAATACTTGAGTGAATGCATGAACAAATTCCATTCAGCTGCTTCCGGAGAGCCCTGCAGGCTGCAGCCAGCTCAAAGCTGCTCTGTTCTGGGCCTGTCAGCAATCCTGGGCTTCCTGGGGGATGGAGGGGTGTCGCTGGATATATGCAGAGATGCAGTTGGTTCACTATTAACGCTGTATGGACTTTTGTCTTTTGTGTGTGTGTGTGTGTGACAGAGTTTCACTCTTGTTGCCCAGGCTGGAGTGCAGTGGTGTGATCTCGGCTCACTGCAACCTCTGCCTCCCAGGTTCAAGCGATTCTCCTGCCTCAGCCTCCCGAGTAGCTGGGATTACAGGCGCCTGTCACCACGCCTATCTAATTTTTGTATTGTTTTTTAAGGGGGTTTCACCATGTTGGCCAGGATGATCTCGATCTCTTGACCTCATGATCCACCTGCCTTGGCCTCCCAAAGTGCTGGGATGACAGGCCTGGGCCACTGTGCCCAGCCCCCCCCCTTTTTTTTGAGACTGGATCTCGCTCTGTCACACAGGCTGGAGTGCAGTGGTGTGATCACAGCTCACTGCAGCCTTGGTATCCCGGGCCCAGTGATCCTCCCACATCTGCCTCCTGAGTAGCTGGGACCACAACCACAGTGTGCGCCACCATGCCTAATTTTTGTATTTTTCATAGAGACAGTTTCACCACGTTGCCCAAGCTGGTCTTGAACTCCTGAACTCAAGCAATCTGCCTGCCTGGGGCTCAAAGTGTTGGGATTATGGGATTACAGGCGTGAGCCACCATGCCTGCCCAGGATCTTTGTTTTTTCATTATTTATGTGTTTGTTGCAGAGATGGGGGTCTCCCTGTTGCTGCTCAGGCTGGTCTTGAGCTCCTGGGCTCAAGCAATCCTTCCATTTTGGCCTCCCGAAGTGCTGGGATTATAGGCGTGAGCCACTGTGCCCAGCCTTGGGTAGATCTTTAAAAGGTACCCCTTCCTGGCTGGGCACAGTGACTCACGCCTGTAATCCCAGCACTTCGGGAGGCCGAGGTGGGTGGATCACCTGAGGTCAGGAGTTTGAGACCAGCCTAAGATGGAGAAACCTTGTCTCTACTAAAAAAAAAAAAAAAAACAAAATTAGTTGAGCTTGGTGGCATATGCTTGTAATCCCAGCTGCTCAGGAGGCTGAGGCAGGAGAATTGCTTGAACCTGGGAGGCGGAGGTTGCCATGAGCCCAGATCACGCTGCTGTACTCCAGCCTGGGCAACAAGAGCGAAATTCTGTCAAAAAAAAAAAAGGTACCCCTTCCTCTGGGCAGATGCAGTGTGCGGTGAGGGGAAATGATGATGTCAGCTCCTGCTGTAGCTCCTGTCCCGTATGCTTACGCAGTGGGCAACTTGCACAACTGTCCTTGGCAGTCCTGCTTGTGTCCCCCATCTCTTGAGCAGCTCAGAAGGTGGGGGGCGTGCTATGATGATCAAGTAACCAGAGGCTGGACCTCCACACCCAGGTGTTTAGAGGGCCAAACCCCAATCTCTGTGCCCAGCTCACTGCTGGTAAAAAAATCTGCCAAGGAACTGAACTGTTCTAGGTAACACCCCCAAATCCCCCCTCCAGGTATCCCCGGCAGTGTCTCCCTTGCTCTTCCAGACTGGGGGCACCCTCACCTTCCCCAGCCCCCTCTGCACGTTTCCATCCAGCCAGGAGTCCCACACTTGCCTGCTTCTCCCAACCTTCTCTCCCTCTCTCCAGCACATCGGCTATTTTTATTTTTCCTTCTTATTAAATTTCCAACTTCGGCAAACACCATGGCCCCTGCCTCGCCGCGCCCCCCCTTCCCTTAGGGCGGATTTGATTCACTTGCGTTTTATTAACAGATTAAAAAAAAAACAACTCGCAGCTGCCACCACAATGTGACTTTCTCCGCTTTCCTGGAGGTTTAGGGAACCGAGGAGAACCGGGCTGCCGGATCCCTCTCCGGGTTTAAATTCGCCCTCCTCCCCACTCCCCGGGACCTTTCCATCACAGCCTGAGCCGCGAGGCCGGGAAGGGGCTGGGGAGTGAGGTTGGGTCTCGTCCTGGGTTTTGAGGGGGAATGGGATGGGTGTCAGGCCTGATGCGGTCCCCCAGCCAGGGCCTCGTCGCAAGGCGGAATTGGAAATTAAAAAAAAAAAAGGGCAATCCGGAGGGAAGCCCCGCCCCCGCCGCGCCCCGCCCCGCCCCGCAGACCTTGGGTGCGAAAGGCTTCGGGTGGAAGGGGCAGCCTCCGGGGTGGGGGCTTAGAAGCTGGGGGCGCCCCCACCCTCTCTCCCTTCGGACGGCTGGCAAGCGGCCTTGGGAAGGTTCGCCACCTACCCTCGCCCTGCTCGCTCAGTTTTCTTTCCTCCTCAGGATATTCTGATTCCGGCGCTGACTCCCAGACCCGAGAGCAAATTGCTTCCTCGTGCCCCCGGGGTGTTTTCCTCCCCCCACGGTTTTTTTTTTTTTTTTGGCAGTCGCCATGGCAACCAAGAACCCAGCTGCACTTCACTTCCCTAGGATACAGGATGGGGGTAGGGGGGTGATGGGAAAACTAACTGGGTCATTTAGGCCAGGACCTTCCTACCCTCCTCTTTGCCCCCTCTCTTAGTCCTCCACTCCTGCCCCACACCACCTGGCCCAGCCTTGATCAAGAAGAGGCCAGGTTGCCCTGTCATACCCATCTGGGTGGTTGAGCTGCGTCTTCCTTCTGGGTCACTCTGTTCCGGGAAGGTCCTTCATTTGGCCCGAGGGCTAAGGCTCCGGCTCTCGGTGAAATCCGTTTTCCCTTCCTTTCCTCCTATTTAGTCCCTCCATCAGGTGGGCTGGTACGGTTGGGCATGTTGGACACTGCACAAGGGAACACTGAGTAGGTTCAAGCTGAGCTCCTGATTTCCCTTGCTCCTTTGCTCCATAGCACGCTACAGACTAACCTCTCCTCTGCCTCACTGACACCAACTCTGTGTGCTATCAGCGGAGCCAGTGATTTCAATAAAACACTTCAGTACTGGTCACACCCCAATGCAGAGGAAGAAGGGAAGTTCAGTCGGGAATTTGGGGTCTTGAACAACTCAAGCCACAGCTCCTCTGGGAGCTTACAGAGACAGCAAACCTGGGCAGAAATAACTTCTACAGGGGCAAAAACTAGGGTCGAGGACCATAGAATGCCTTGGGGTACTCAGAGGGAGGCAGGGAATGATTATCAAAAGCCCCAAAGGAATCATAGGGCTGATCAAGTTGCTTCCCGTATCCAATTCTACCGCCCACCATCTATACTGTTGGCCTACGTGGCTCCTCCCACGGAAGGTGGAGCCTATTTCCACGCCCCTTGAATCTGGGTTGGTCTCGTGGTCTCCTTTGGCCAATCAATAGATCGCAGCAGAAGTGAAGTCAGTTTCCAATCTAGGCCTGGAGAGGTGCCTCAGGTTTCTGGTCGGTGTCTGGAGACTCCGCCTCTGTCAGGTGACCACGCCCCAGCTAGTCTGCTGGAGGATGAGGGAAGAATCCTGTTATCCCAGCCAAGCCGTCCCAGACCAGCCTACAGCCCGCTGGGCCGAAATATACGAAAAGTCCCAGCCTGGATAAGTAGTCTTGGGCCCATACACATTGGCGGTTAAGCCCAGCCAAGAGCAGCCTGCAGCCTGCGAAGCCAAAATTAACGCTGATTTTCCTAAGCTGCTGGATTTGGGTGCTGTTAGGCAGCGTTTTTGTTTTGTTTTTTGAGACACAGTCTCACTTTGTGGCCCAGGCTGGAGTGCAGTGGTGCAATCTTGGCTCTCTGCAACCTCTGCTTCCCAGGTTCAAGAGATTCTCCTGTCTCAGCCTCTCGAGTAGCTGGGATTACAGGCACAGACCACCATAGCTGACTAATTTTTGCATTTTTAGTAGAGACAGGGTTTCGCCATGTTGGCCAGGTTGGTCTCGAATTTGTCTCAAGTGATCCGCCCGCCTTGTCCTCTCAAAGTGCTGGGATTACAGGCATGAGCCACTGGGCCTGGCCTTTGTTAGTTTAACTGGCAACAGGTAACTGACAAGGAACCTGGCAGGCACAGGTGTGCGTTGGTCAGAACTTCCCCACGAAGGAGTTGGACTCAGATCCTAGAGGCTGTGAAATGGATTGTCAACTCTTTAACTTCCTGAGGAATCCTTCTCCATTTTCCTTTGTTTCTTTTTTGTTTTTTCACATGGCCTTCCAATGAAATGCCCCATTTTTCCTTTTTTTTTTTTTTTTTTTGAGATGGAATCTCACTCTGTAGCACGGGCTGGAGTACAGTGGTGCGATCTTGGCTCACTGCAACCTCTGCCTCCCAGGCTCAAGCAATTCTCCTGCCTCAGCCTCCTGAGTAGCTGGGATTACAGGCTTGTACCACTATCCCCCACTAATTTTTGTATTTTTAGTAGAGACAGCGTTTCGTCATCCTGGCCAGGCTGGTCTTGAACTCCTGACCTCAGGTGATCCGCCCACCTCGGCCTCCCAAAGTGCTGAGATTACAGGCATGAGCCACCATACCTGGCCTCCCATTTTTTTTTTCCTTGGTATCTCTCTGAATTGCATCTCCTCTCTCTCTCCCTCTCTCTCTCTCTCTCTCTCTCTCTCTCTCTCTCACACACACACACACACACACACACTTCCTTCCAGCCACACAAGTCTCCTAACTGATTTCTATTCTTCCATACTAGTTCCCATCTCGGGGCCTTGGCACCGCTGTTCCTCCTGCCTGGAACCCTCTTCCCCCAGATCTCTGTGCATCCTCCCCTTTTACTCCTTCAGGTCTCTGCTCATGTGCCTGACACCCTGAGATCCCCTCCTTAACTCAGATAGGGATATCTCCTTCCAGGCCCTCACCAACCTGCTACTGCTCCCAATGGGAGCACATCATGTCCAGCCTAGGACGCTAAGGCTGACCCGGGGTTCAGATGGGAGCAGAACAGCCCTCCACAAAAACATGCCTTTTTAGGGCCGGGCGAGGTGGCTCATGTCTGTAATCCCAGCCCTTTGGGAGGCTGAGGTGGGCGGATCACAAGATCAAGAGATTGAGAACATTCTGATCAACATGGTGAAACTCCGTCTCTACTAAAAATACAAAAATTAGCTGGGCATGGTGGCGCACACCTGTAGTCCCAGCTACTCAGGAGGCTGAGGCAGAAGAATCATTTGAACCCAGGAGGTGGAGGTTGCAGTGAGCCAAGGTTGCACCACTGCACTCCAGCCTGGTGACAGAGCAAGACTCTGTCTCAAAAAAAAAAAAAAAAAAAAAAAGACAAAAAAACTCAGACATTTCTCTTTTGGGCTGGGTGCAGTGGCTCACACCTGGAATCCCAGCACTTTGGGAGGTTGACGTGGGTGGATCACAAGGTCAGGAGTTTGAGACCCACCTGGCCAATATGGTAAGACCTCATCTCTACTAAAAATACAAAAATTAGCTGGGCATGGTGGCGAGCGCCTGTAGTCCCAGCTACTCAGGAGCCTGAGGCAGGAGAATCGCCTCCCAAGTAGCTGGAATTACTTGCACCCGCCACCACAGCTGGCTAATTTTTGTAGTTTTAGTAGAAACGGTTTTACCATGTTGGCCAGGATAATCTCGAACTCCTGACTTTAAGCGATTCACCCGCCTCAGCCCCCCAGTGTGCCGGGATTACAGGTGTGAGCCACTGTGCCCTGCCACACAAAAACATTCTTCATTCACCTTTCCCCTAATGATTTTACCATCCACGGCTAATCATGCTCTAAATCCATGATTTGTTTTTTTGTTTGTTTTTGTTTTTGTTTTGAGATAGTCTCAGTCTGTCGCCAGGCTGGAGTGCAATGGCACGATCTTGGCTCACTGGAACCTCTTACTCCCTGATTTAAGGGATTCTGCCTCAGCCTTCTGAGTAGCTGGGATTACAGGGGCACACCACCATGCCTAGCTAATTTTTGTATTTTTAGTAGAGATGGGGTTTCACCATATTGACCAAGCTGGTCTCAGTCTCCTGACCTCATGATCCTCCTGCCTCGGCCTCCCAAAGTGCTGGGATTACAGGTGTGAACCAGCACGCCTGGCCTTTTTTTTTTTTTTAATTAAGAGATGGGATCTCACTATGTTGCCCAGGCTGGTCTCAAACTCCTGGCCTCAAGCGATCCTTCTACCTTGCCCTCCCAAAATTCTGGGATTAAAGCCGTGAGCCATGTCACCTGGCCTGCAGCCATGATTTCATTACAAGTTGCAAAATACTGCATTCCCAGTTTATCACAGCGTTTTCCCATTTATACATCTGTCGTCTCCAACAATCTGGAAAGCCCTCAACAGCAGAGATAGAGCTACAGGGTACCAAAGAAACGTTTGCTGAAAGAATCTGAATTCAGGAGATGGAGTCTACTGGGGGAAACAAACAAACAAACAAACAGTTATTTGTCGTTTACGACAAAGAAACACGGCACCATTTCTCCTGCTTCTGGGATCAAAGGCTGCTCCAGTCCAGTCTCCTCTGGATGCCAGGCCTGGCCAAAAGTCCCAGGACATGGCCTGGCCCCCTAACCCATCACAGCTTTCTCCCTTCTGACACCGTCGCCACCCCATGGACCCAAGACCTAGAGGGGACTGGGCAGAAGAAAGATCGACTGTCTATAGGTATCAACATCGCTTTCCTTCTTAATTTTTTTTTTATTTGAAACCTCCCCACAATTCAAACGTTTCTCTTATTATCTTCTGCCGAGGGAAAAAAATTAATAACATGGCACAATATAAAATACTAAATTAAAGGCATTTTGGAACCAGCAATTATTTCATAAGCTTCTCTTTTATTGCAACGCTAATGTGCCTAATTGCTATCTTAATGAGGACATTAATTTCTGGCTAATGTGATGTTATTATAGAAATTGCAGTCAATCTCTTAAAAGGGGGAAAGTGCTAGAAAGCTGTCCCACAAGGCAGAGGCTCTGGTCACCCTGCAGCTGAGGGGCAAAGGGGAGGGGAGGAGACGGTGCTGGAACCCGGGCCAGGAGTGGGGGAAGGATGGGGCTGCTGGGAGCCAGAGGGGGGAAGGCAGGGGGCTTGTGTGGAGGAGAATAAAGCTGCCCAGGGAGGCCCTGATCTGAAAGCCAGCTGCTGCCATGCCCAGGGACCTAGGAGGTGGAACTCTGAATAGGGGGAAAGTGTTACAGCAATAATAAAACCTGACATCAGTGGCAGGCACCGTTGAGGCTTTTCCTATGCTGATCCTTGCAATGGCTCTATAAAATAGTGTCATTTCCCCCATTTTACACATGGAAGAACAGAGAGGTTGAGTAACTTACCCAAGGTCACACAGCTATTACATGGTAGAGATGGGATTTGAACCCAGCACGTCTGGCTTAACTGCTGAGCTATGCTGCCTTTTAGCCAGCACCCTGAGACCATCAATAATAACAATTTCAAACATTTATTGAGGATTTATCATGCACTGGCCGTGAGTCAAGCCTTTTGCACACA